CCACAACATGGACGGCCTATCGATAGGCCGAACTTATCCAAGTAGCCTTCAAGAATTAGCACCGCCACTTGCATGTCTCGAGGACCGAGTGACCTCGGACGAGGAAGGATGTTAATCAACTCAGGGAAATCAAGAATTGCATAGCTTCCTTTGATGCTCCCAAAGTAGAGACATCATGTGCTTTGACTATTATTTTTAGAGTTAGGAATGTAATGAGTGAATTTTAAAGATGCAGTTACCCCAATTTTGAAGTGAGAAAGTGTTATAGGTGAAGGAATGGTGAGGTAAGGACATGGTGAGAAAGAGAAGATGTTGAGAAACGAGCTAAGGAGGGAGGAAAGCTTGGCCTGAGAGCTTAGGTATGGGGGAAGAGATAGACAATGAAGATGTTTCACAGGGAGAAGATGTTTTGGACGTTCTGCAATGATTTCTATCAGAAAATTTTAACAGCGTTGACTTCTATTTAACGGTAGGGCTAACACATCTCATAGTTGAAAGTTAAAGGACTTCATAAAAAGACAAAATGTCCAAGGACCTGATTCAAAATGGAAGAAAACTATAAAGACCTCCAAATTACTTTTCTCTTTTTAAAATCATCAAATTATTTTAAAGTTCTAAGAGACCTTATTGTAAGAGATTTTATTTGTTTAATTACCAAATTATCCTTATTACTTTTTTAGGTATGTCTTAACAATTGAAAGAAGAATCGTTAACAAACTTAAAGTGTAACAATTAATAATTATTATAACAAGTATTAACAATATATTTTCTCAGCATACTACAAAAATATAATATATGAGTTATCAAAATCTGCCATAATAGCTATTAATTATTGCGCTTTAAATTGCTAATGACTGCACATTTAGTTGTCAATGAATACTTAAAAAAATATGAGAGTAATTTGATAATTAAACAAATTTTAAATAAATAAAATCTTTCCCTCAGGACTTCACAATGATTTGATGATTTCAAAAAACTTTTTGTATTTAATTCTCTTCTGTCAGGCCTTATTGCAATTTTCTCAAAAAGTTTTTTGAGTATTTGAATTTATGAAGTTAACTGTTTTATAAAAAGAAAGCCACCCCGCTAAGTTTCCGCTTATTGCAATTTTCTCAAAAGGATTTTTAAGTATTTGAATATATAAAGTTAACTGCTTTGTAAAAAGAAGACCACCACGCTAAGTTTCCGCCCATGGCAAGTTGGTGTACGGAAGATGAAATGGGCTCCGTGAATAAGACAGCGGGAGTAAAGCAAACTTTGTCAAAGTTTCTGTCACGCACAAATTTGATTCTGCATATGAATGGATATTCTAATATGAATACCGACGATTAAGGTTGTCAAACTCACAAATTTAAACAAACTCGTGATAATGATATAAACTCGAATTATAAACTTGGATCATAAACTCGTAAGAGTTTACTTTTATTAATAAACTAGTATTAAAAGTATATAATCAAATAATTAATATATAAAAAAATAAGAACAATTTCATTTAAATATATTTTAAATTTAAATAATTAATATTATATTCATCAATACTCATAATTTATCACATTTAATAAAGAAATTTTTATAAAATTCATATATAAGTCACTGAACATAATCAAATCTAAAAATTTATCACAAGTTTAAGAACAAATTAATACGATTTTGTAAGCGTAAAAACGGTAAACTCAATAAATGAACTCGTAAGTTTAACCGAGTTTATAATAATCAAGATTTTAAGAGTAAATTGACACGATTTTATTAGCTGAAAACGTAAAAACGTTAAACTCGGAGAGTCAACTCGCAAGTTTAACAACAGTACCTAGGACCTTATTAGTTATGCATTAAACAATCTTTGTTGGCATTTTGTGATTCTTAACAATCATTATATTTCATTCCCTCCTATGATAAAATTTACACACAAAAAAAGGAAAATGAATTTTTTTAATATTATGCCTATCATGTTTTAGGTTTATTATTTTTCATAGATTTGCTTTGAAAATTCTCAATCTCATAAATTATAATATAATTTTGTAATTCATCTGATATTATTAATTTTCCCAAAAATTTTGTATTTTTATTGAATATATTTTAAGTTTATATTATATATAACATGTTTATATGAAAATAATTTTTCATGTCCATGCGTGCGATGCTGCATTTTTTATTTAAAAAAAGAATAAATAATTGGCTGCATTAGACAAAGAAGAACGAAAAATGAAATAACTTTAGTAAACAAAGGACCCTCTGGCAAAGTTACCACCGCGTGGCGGCGTGGGTCAAGTGGATGAAGGTGGTGTTTAGCTATTTATACTTGGATCCACTTCTATAACAAAATTAGTTTGACAACTAAAACATATTTGGGTAATTAATGAAAAGTAAGTCTGAATGAAAAATAATAAACCTAAAACATGATACAAGACTCAGATTTTAGAAAAAAGTGTCACATTTCTTATAATTAACTAACTTACCTAACTTCTTTAATCTAATCAAATTAGTTAAATAGATCTTATATTAAAGACCGGAGAAGTAATGAAGATCAGAGTGGTACACTTTAATTTCATATTGTATATATAATCTGAGTCTACTAAAACCAGGTCATAATCTGTGGCATGGGGGTGTTTTCAAGAATTGAAAGGGCGTGAAGCGGGCAAGATACAAGACGAGAATTAGGTTTTTTTTTTAATGATTAAATGACATTTTAATCCTTATATAAAAACAATATAATTACTATAAAATTATTAACTTACATAGATGTCATGTAAGATATCATATAGGATGCAATGTATCTTTTCTTAATCTAATATGGCAATTTCTATTGAAAAGATAATAACAGGTTAACGCTTAACGGTGAGGGGGTTCATAATAAAAATAATAAAAGATAAGAGAAGTTAAATTTTAACTTTGAAACGTTAAGATATAATTATATGTATCTTTCCTAAAGTTCAGATATTATATACAATTTAGTTTTAAGGTTCCAATCATTTCAAGTTGCTGTGTGGAAGAGAGCAAACCTTATAAAGTTTGTCACATAAAGTGACCACTTGCATATGAATGGTTAAGAACAATGATTCCATTCATTTATAAGGTATTAGAACAGTGTGGTCAGGTTGGCCCCCCGGGGCGGGACCCAAAAAAAAAAAAAAACCATTTTGGTGAGATGTGCATCATGCACATATAATTTAAACAGTCCATAATTAAAATTTTCAACTAATAGTTCTTAAATAAAAAGTTATTTTTGAAAAACTCATAGTTAATAAATAATCTCTACCCTAGATTTTGTCAATATTAAATTGTTAAAAATATAAAAAAATCAAATTTTATTAAATCTCAACTGTCCAATTTTAATATAAACAGTATTCCTCCGGTTCTTAATATAAGCCCTATTTAACTAATTTGATTAGATTAAGAAAGTTAGGTAAGTTAGTTAATTTTAAGAAATGTGATATGCTTTTCATAAAATATCATAATCATCTTTCTTAATATCCTCCTTTCCTCTTCCACTTGATTATGGTTGAAGGAGTATCCATATGGATAATTTAGGAAAAAAAATATAAGAAATAGGTTTTATATTTAGAATCAAAATCAACTCAATAATATATAGGACCGGAGGAGTCTAAATTTGATGCTTATTACTTAAGTAATGAGCACCCAAACTCAATTTCTAAGCCCCACTTCTAGTTAAGGAGAATAGGGTTCGATCCCAACATACACAAGGAGAATTATTTCACTATTCATGTTTTTAATTGAGAATTACATGCTTTTACAAAAATATTCCTTTCATACTACACAAATGTGATCTGCGCATAGTTATTCGTAGCCCAATAATATCAAAAGATGGCTATGGATTCGTTTGATTATATTCTCTATTTTTATGTTCTAAAAACGATTTTGTAGAATAACATTTTAAATAAGTTTTGGAAACAAAAAATTTGTTTGCATTCATGATGAGATTTAAACGTATAACCTTATGAATTATAAGTTAAACAACCTTTGTTGGCATTTTTGTGATTCTTAATAATGATTATATTTTATTCCAAGTCATGATAAAATATACCCCAAAAAAAAATGAAACAAAAGAATTTTTTTAATATCATGTCTTACATATTTTAAGTTTATTATTTTCCATAGATTGAGTTTGTTTTGAAAACTCTCGGTTAAATTGTCATATAATTTTGTAATTCATCGAATATTATTAATATATTTGAACTTAATGAGCCTGTTTGGCTCAGCGTTTCAGGGCCAATAAGCGGCTTATAAGCCTGAAAAGCTCGATCGTAAATTTTGATGTTATTTGGTTGAGTGATTGAGCAATCTTGCTTTTTTATGAAAAGATACAATAAGCTATAAGCTAAAATTAACAGTTTGTAACTTATAGCTTTTAAAACATGAAGAGAGAAAAAGTGAAGAATTTATTACCTTCTTTAGTTCTTATTATGAGCCTCAAATAACTAATTTGTAGATAACAAAAAATCAGTTAAAATTAGTTAAAAATAATAAATAAGTTAGAAATATACTTTTATTTTTAAATATGCTCCTAGAAATATATTTTTATTTTTTCATGTTTCACTTTATATTTAAAATATTTTTTATGATTTCTCTAAAGTTTTAAAATTTAATTCACTCATTAAATTTGACTTCTTCATATTAAATTATTTTAATTTTATTGTATTATGTGAAATCATTTTTTTCATCATGTTTCATTATTTATTAAAACTTATAGCTATTTTGATCATTTTACAACTAAACTTATTTTTACTCAACTATAATCCAAACAACTTTTTACCAATCTCACTTTTGCAAACTAATTTTTCTGAACTTCAATCCAAATACAATTCAGCTTATTCATTTTAACTTTCATTCAACTTCACTTTTTTAAGGACTACTTTTTCAATAAGCTACCTTTTTAACCACGGATCCAAACGGACCTTATATTGGGACCAAGTAAATAAAGCTACTAGCACATATTCTTTCCGCCCCTCCTTCTTGAGCAAGTAACTGTAATGCCCCAACTTTCTATCTCTCTTTCACCTCAAAAATTCCAAACGCCTTCACACGATTCATTGTTCTCAGCTCACACATTTCAATATGAACCACAGTCTTCCAAGTCGTTCTCTTGATAATATTCGATGAATTATATGAATTGTTCTCAGCTCACACATCTTCTCTACATCTCTTCTTACTTTTTTGTAAACTCTCAACTCAAAAAAACATCCAGCCAAATGAGAAATTATCCTTTCAACTGGGTTAATCAGAAGCTAAACTCCTTCTCCTTAGACACAGATCATCACCAACCACAGAGCTCCAATAGCGACACTGTTCCACCCATTGTCTCTTTCTACAATGAAACGATCCGACCAATTCTTGACGCTGTTGAAAACCTCAGACGTCTGAACATCACCAAAGAAGGTATCCAGCTTCCAAGCATTGTTGTCGTTGGTGACCAGTCTTCTGGCAAATCTAGTGTCTTGGAATCTCTGGCAGGAATCAGGTTGCCCCGTGGGCAAGGGATCTGCACAAGGGTGCCCTTAATTATGAGGCTCCAAAGCCACTCTGTTCCAGAGACAGAACTTGTGTTGGAGTATAATAACATAACTGTATTAACAGATGAAGAACATGTGTCTGATGCCATAAACACAGCCACTGAAGAGCTTGCAGGGAAGTCCAAAGGGATTTGCAACAGCCCTTTGACTTTGGTGGTGAAGAAGGATGGTGTTCCTGATCTCACCATGGTGGATCTGCCAGGGATAACCAGAGTTCCTGTTCATGGACAGCCTGAGGACATTTATGACCAGGTCAAAGACATAATCATGGAGTACATCAAACCAGAGGAAACTATCATTCTGAATGTTCTATCAGCTACTGTTGACTTTCCAACCTGTGAATCCATTAGGATGTCACAGAGTGTTGATAGAACTGGTTTGAGAACTCTGGCCGTAGTAACAAAAGCTGACAAGGCCCCTGAAGGATTAAAAGAAAAGGTTACTGCTGATGATGTAAACATTGGGCTTGGTTATATCTGTGTCAGGAATCGAATTAATGATGAGTCCTATGAAGATGCTCGGAAAGAGGAAGCTATGCTGTTCCAAAATCATCCTCTTCTGTCAAAGATAGACAAATCCATGGTGGGTGTACCTGTTTTGGCTCAGAGGCTAGTTCGGCTTCAAGCTTCAATTATTTCGAAAACACTACCTGAGATGTTGAGAAAAATCAACGAGAAGCTAAATTCTCAGCTTTCTGAGCTAGAAAGCTTGCCAAAGAACCTGACTTGTGCTGCTGATGCTATGGCTGCCTTCATGCATATAATTGGATTAGTGAAAGAGTCGCTAAAGAAAATTCTAATCAGAGGAGAATTTGATGAGTACCCGGAAGACAAAAGCATGCATTGTACTGCTCGTTTGGTTGAGAAGCTCAACGAGTACTCAAAGGATCTCCACGAATGTCCAGGAAGTAACCACACAGAGAATTTCCTCATGGATGAAATAATGCTTTTGGAGGAAGCCAAGGGGATAGGCCTCCCAAACTTCATGCCTCGCACAGCTTTTCTGGCATTATTAAAGAGGAAAGTCGGAGCAATCTCATCGAGACCCATTCAATTCATTGATGATGTGTGGGACTATCTGGGGAAAGTGGTGATCGGAGTCATAAATCGTCATTCAGAACACTACTACCAGCTTCAGAGATGTACATGCAGGGCGGGAGAAAATCTAATCTTTAGAATGAGAGAGAATTCAAAGAAGCATGTAAAGGAGGCTATTGAAATGGAGAAGCTGACGGATTACACGTGTAAGCCTGAGTACATGACTGAATACTATAATCTGATGGCTTATCAGGCTCATTTTGTTGCAACTGTGCGTGAAGGCATTTGTGGAGCTATAAATATTAGTTGTGTTGGAGAAAACATACAGATTCGTCATCTGGGAGACTACATACAAGTTCTTGATCAAGCTTATGACTTGAAGATGAGAATGGTTTCTTATTGGAAGATTGTGCTGAGGAGGCTGATTGATACTATAGCTCTGCATCTGCAGTTCAGTATCAACAGTCTGGTGAATAATGAGTTGGAGAAGGAGATCACTGCTTGTTTTACGTCTCCCAGTTTCGGAGGAATTGAAAGCTTGTTGGAGGAGTCACCTTCCATGGCTGCCAAGCGTGCCATGCTCAGTCGAAGTGTTGAGGTTCTCAAAGAAAGCAAAGAGGTAGTGTCAAACATTATGGACGGAATTTCCAGTGACTGAGATTAAGTGTTGTCATGTGTGTGTGTGTGTGTGTGTTTTATATTTATCTATTTAATATCTATCAGTCTGAATGTGTTATCGTCATATTTTTCTCTTTTAATATGAAGTGATGATGTCGTCCCAGTTTTCTCACCCTGCCCCAGAAAGGCAACGTAAATAGATATGAAACACTAAATGAGCAAGAAATTGTTTGAATACTAAATAAATATGAACTTATTTTCCTAACACTATTTTTGAAATCACAAAGAGTTCATGGATTGTTTCAAATAGAGATGTTACGGAATCATTTTGTTTTTTGACAGATATGAGAAACTGAATCCTATGATTGGTTATAGGTCATTACAAGATAAAACAACATTTGTTTCTTGAAAAAAAAAAACTCATTTTTTTTTAATCTTTTCTTTCTTTAGGTTGCGAGACCGAGTGATTCAAATATTCATTATTATTTTGAAGCAGTGATTTTAATTTATGTAAATCATCGTTGACATTAAGGAATATATATTTCCATACCCGTAACCAAAAAAAAAAAAAATCAAAAAATTGCATGTTATGTTTTGCAGTGTCCCTATTACAAGTAGGGCCATATTACTTTTTCAAGAGAAATATATAACCAAATAGAGTTCAATTTGTCTCTGTAATCTTTTAAGGAAAAAATCTACATGTAATCACGGACTATGTCTTTACTTTTTTTGTATAATACCATCTAAATACACGCATAATCACAAACATGTCAATGTGAAGCTCAAACCTACAACCTCATCCAAACATCATAGGTGATATCGATGCTGAGACAATTAGTGGCTGATAATATTTATGTAAGTTGGTATATTTGACATTCATCCTCTTTTATGTGTTTCTAAATATTTTAAATTTTGGATATCAGTATATTGATATATATATATATATATATATATAAGCCAATTACAAACTTAAAATTATAGTTTTTTGACAAATCAGGATTATCCCATAAGTTATTATTACCCCCTTTTCGATTATACTTCTTTAAAAATCTATTTAAACACCCAACTTTCAAATTAATTATATTTATAAATCAACTTGATGAGTTCTACTTTATTAATCACAGACTATATCTTTGTTTATTTGACATTTGATAATCTGAGATTCACAAGAATTAAATGAATTTAAGTTAGTGCATGTATCAATGATGCTTAAGATGCAGGATATATATGTTCATTTTACTGGAACTAAAACCTTTCACACCTATATAAGGTCGGTAATATATCAACTTCATAAAATATTAATTTTCATATTTTAATACTCTTACTTTCCTTAATATAAGACCTATTTAACTAATTTGATTAGATTAAGAAAGTTAGATAAGTTAGTTAATTATAAAAAATATGATATGTTTTTTCTAAAACACCATAATCATCTTTTTTAATATTTTCCTTCACTCTTTTACTTGATTATAGTTGAAAGAATATCCATAGAGGTAATTTAAAAAAAATTGATAAATATAAAAAATAGATCTTGAATATAAGATTAAAATTAACTTAATAATTAAGTCTTATATTAAAGATAAAAAGAGTATATTTTAACTATGATGTCAAAACCAAAACTTCAACTAGCAGAAAGAAAAAGTTAGCCCTTGAACAAATTTTAACTTGGCCATAAAAATGGACCAGCCCAAAAGTTTTGATATTTATATATGCAAGTTAGATAACCAATCCATCTCACTTTGGGCATGCTTCATTGCTTTGGACAATATTTTTTGGACAATTGGTCTTGTATTTATGAGGATTTCAATAACTTAGAATACACAGTACTCCTCGGCTAAAAAAAAAAGAGAGAGATAATAGACAATACTGTCACGATTTTATTTATGAAACACTTTATTAAATTTAATATAAGTATTTTTTTTACTCTTTACTTATTATAGAGATTGTTATTTTCTTAAAAAGTATATATATTAAATATAAATAAAATTAAAATTTTATTAAATTTTAAAATAGAGTTAATGATATCTTAAGTTTTTTTAATTTCAATAAAACATGTTTAAAAAATGACTTATAAATAGAAATAGTGAAGTAAATACTATTCCATATTTCCACGATTAAATTTTCTGCAACAAATGGTTACTATATTTTTGCATCTTGGGCAGCTCAAAACTCAACACATCTTTTGTTACAAATTTTAAAACCTTTCCAGTAACTCATGAATGTTGAATTTGTTTGCTATTCCCTAGTTCTATCTATAAGATCTCAAAATTTGAATTGATTTGGTCATTTTTATAAGATGTTATTAAAAATTATCTGAATATTAAATGTCTTTTTACCAATTCAGCAATTCCGCCCATAATTAATTCTCTATCCTCTCTCATCTTTTTCTTATATTTTATTCTCTTTCATCTTTTATTTATTACTAGTATTTCTCTACATTATTTGCTTCCTCGTTAAATAAGGATATATTTGAGAGAAAAGAAGTTTAAATCTTACATATTTATTATTTTTAATTAATTTCAACTAATTTGTTAAATTATACTCCTCTTGTCCTATTTATAGGGTAGAAAGAACAGACATTTTTTATCCCATTTATAAGATACCGAGAAAATTTTTTACATGAATGCATGATTTTTTTCTTTTGTTTATTATTATATTGACCTTGTTTAGGTTAAGTATAATATATATTAAATATAAATAAAGTTGAAAAGTTATTTAATTTTAAATTAGACTTAATAAATTTTAAGATTTTTCTTAACCTATATAAAAAATATGAAAAATAATTTATAAATAGAATTAGATGAATATAATTTAATAAACAGGGTCTTGTGAAAGATAGATCAGGAGTACCATTCAACCCGAGAGTCAAGACGCGAGGCGTGGTAAAAAATTCGGAGAGCCAAATGCAGCGCGGATGATGATGTGACCATGCGCATATCAATTACTTTCTTTTTGTTTTTCACCAACGTACATATTAGTTTTACACCCCAACTGATTATTTTTAAGTTATTAAAAATCTTCCGAGAATTTATACTTTGTTTGGATGAAAAAAAATTAAAAAGAAAGAAAATAGAGAGAGAAAAAAACTAAAGAGAAGATGTTATTATCCTTTTTGTTTGGATAGATGAAAAAATAGAAAGAAAAAAAATAAATATCTAAATGATTAAAATGTCCTCATCACGATATATCATATTTAAAATTAAATTAAATATTATAATAGAAAAATTATATTAACATTAGTATTATCAAATAATTAAAATCAAGTTATTTTGTTGATATATATTTTTAGATTATTATATTTTAAAACCAAATTATTTAATAAAAATATTTTTTTAAGATAAAAAATAAAAAATGAATAGCTTTTTAAATATAATAAAAGAAAATAAATATAAAAAAAAAAAAGGAGAAGAGTAGTAGTCTTGAAAATTTTGTTTTACTTTTCAAATCTCTCCATGCATGGAAAGAAAATTTGAAAAAAAAATAAAGCATGGGACCCTTTTTTTTTTTTAGAAAACCATATTGGGAGGTACTTATATTTTTTTTTAATTTTCAATTTGGTACCTATATGTTTTTTGTTTTTAACTAAATCTTTATTTTTTCTCTATTAACATCATTAATCCTTATGTAGAGACTAAAAATATCAATAGAACAAAGTTATAAAAACTAATGTTACTAAAAAGATAAAATTAAATGTTTAATTAAAGAGAAAAAACACATAGGTACCAAATTAAAAATTGAAAAAAAATATAAGTATGGTTTTCCTTTTTTTCTTTCCTTTCACATTTTCTCACCGACCGAAAACTTGTTTCCTCTCGTGTTTTCTTCTCCTGTTTTCTCTCCTATCTCATTTTCCCTCAATCCAATCCAAGCAAGGGGTTACCGGGGATATACATATACATATACATATATATATATATATATTCCGAGGAAAACTATCCAACTTCCTGAGCATATGAAAGGTCACCTGGCCGGCCATTTTTCTGAGCTATCTTTTCCCAGCATGTCTCTTCATTCCTTCACTAAAACCATAATATAATATAAACATCAGCATTCGGATTTCAGAATCACTCTCCACATCTCGATCCCCGCCTTCAGCCTGCTGCCTCTTTCCTGAAAACTTTGATTTGAAATAAAACATGCAAATGGGAAGAGGAAAGTTATCAAATACTTCAGCTGCTTCCAGCAGAAAGACTCTTAATTAAAGACAAGATTCTCTTTCCTTGGCCGCAGATGATCAACCCAAAGGTCCTCACTAACTGCACAGTTCATGATACTGTAAGAACAACGATGGAACAGAGCATGGGTCATTAGACTCTTTCCTTCGAAAACAAAACTACTCCTACACATCCAGAGCAACCAACACCCCACGCTGAAGATTCTTGTCCAAGCTACATTCTTGAATCTAGCACAGGGCAGGCTTAGCTTTAGAATTCCACCGAAACCAAACCTGCAAGTCACCATGGAAAAAGCGAGATATATGGTTAGGATTTAAAAATTTATACCACAGCTCTCTTGCAATCTCTCGACAACTGAAAAGGAGAATCACTCGCACTTGAAAAACCTCTCTTGGCTCCATATGGATTTGTGGCCGCTCTCTTGTGGGATTTTTTTTACGGCCTTTAAATTTTATGAGAGTATTATAAAGGGTTAAGGTGCGCCCAATACCCCGAGCTATTTACTCAGGTGTGTCTAGTGGCTTAAAATAATTTTAGGTGTATTCAGTGTCCTAAACTAATTAAAATGGTGTGTCCATATCCGAGACTAACAGAAATGTTACGTTTAACTGTTACTTTCTTGACTTAGGTTAAAATTGACCCCAGATATTCTATATAGTAAACACATGGGCACCCGATATGTATTATTCTTGCTCAAAAGTCAATTTATTTAGAAGAAGAGGAATGAAATAAATTCAATTTTGAGTAAGAATAATACATATCAAATGTCCATATGTCTACCATTTAGAATATATGGGGTCAACTTTAAGCTGAGTCAGAAAAATAACAGTTAAACATAACATTTCTGTTAACCTTGGATATGAACGCACCATTTTAATTAGTTTAGGATACTAAATATACCCAAAATTACTTTAAGCTACTGGACACACCTGGATAAATAGTTCAGATGCTAGACGGACCTTAGTCCTATTATAAAATCATAGAAAGACTATGAAAGAGAATTTGAATATTTATAAAGCCAGTAACTCAAGATTTTTACGAATAAAATAAATAAATATCAGTAATAATATTAATAACGATAGACTAAAGTTAAAAAAGAAAAAAAGAGAGAGAGAGCAAGGGATAAGGAGTAGTTGGCACAGTCATTAATGCCTATGACCCATTACTGAACCTATCTTATGTGGTTGCTTTTAGGCTTCCATAGAGATCTATTGAGTACCGAAATCATCATACTTTCTTTCGTAATTTACGGAATATACTATAAATATGAGAGTCTTTTCAGCTCACATCAAATATAAAGAAAATTATACACAGGTACATAAAATATCAAAATTATTAAGAGGTCTTAAGAAGTTTTAGAGTATTATATTTTAATTATAAAATAATATTATTATCTATTAGATTCTCAATTTACATTTTTTTTTCATTACGATTAACAATCTCAATAGTGATTATTGACAATCTAATAAGAAGGTGTTGACAACATAAATAATATCTGTTGACAACTTGTTTTATAGGATTATATAACCTCCACATAAAAGTAAATTATACCCAAATAGTATAATACAACAATTTCAATACTGAAATAGGAAGCTTTTCGAAATCATTAAGAATTTTAACTAAATTCAATAAGATTATAATAAAATTTTAATGCGAAAATTTATTGACAACCTCAAATATGAGTATTAAGAACTTAAGGAGAGCTGTTGACAACTGATTTTATAATATAATAAAACTTCTATATAAGATTAAATTATAATTAAATAGTATAACATAACAACTATATAAAATCAATATTAACACTATTTAGTTATAATTAAATAGCATAACATAACAACTACATAAAATCAATTTTAACACTATTTAGTTATAATTTAGTTAGTTATAGTTGGTAGATGTTATATTATCCTATAAAATCAATTGTTGATAGATACTGTCTAGCTTATTAACAGTTCTCATTGGGTTATTAATACTCATCTTTAAGGTTGTCAATGAATCTCCATATTAAAATTTTGCTATAATCTTATTAGGTTTAGTTAAAGTTCTTAATGGTTTCGAAAAGCTTCCTATTTCAGTGTTAAAGTTATTATATTATATTATTTGGTCATAATTTACTTTTATGTAGAGGTTATGTGATGCTATAAAGTAAATTGTCAACAGACACTGTTTAGGTTGTCAACACCTTCTCATTAGGTTGTCAATAGTCGCTGCTGAGGTTGTTATCGCAGTGACAGAGAAAATATGAATTGGGAATTTGAAGAGTAGTAATATCATTTTATAATTAGAATATAATATTTTAAGATAACTTAAAACCTGTTAGTAATTTTGATGTTTCTGAAGATCTTGAATAAATAAAGTCTCTTTTTGAGAATCTGTGCGTAATTTTTACTAAAATATGCCTATAACATTTCTCAACGAGCTATTATTGAGGTGGCTGATGCCAACCACAGTGAATGAACCTTGGGTTGGCATTCGCCATTGTGAACAGGGTATTCGCCGTGGTGACCATCGCCGCCTGATTGCAGTTATGCAAAAATGTACGATAAGATTCAACTTCGAGGGGTTATAATTTAAGCCCCTAAAACTTCGGTCAAGGGAAAAAAGTTAATCAAACTCGACTCTAGTCCTTACAAAATTAAACATGACCTATTTAACTAGGGAGTGTTTAGATTAGAACTAAATTATAATTTTAAAAATATTTTTATAATATAAAAAATAAATATGTGAAAGATTTTACTTCGAAAAAGTATTTTTAAAAAGTATTTTTATATAACCCCAAATATCTCCTAAATAGAGTTAGTTATTCCTTAACATAATATTTTAGTTAAATTAAGTACGTCAAGCCAGGTAAGGGCTAATCAAACCTAACTTCAAGCCTTCACCAGTTTTCCATTTTTGATAGGCAGCCTTCACCAGTTATCTCCAAACATAATTTTAAATCTGATATGTATTTCCATTTTCACATCTTCTCCATTTTCATTTTCATTTGCATTTTCATTTCAATCAAAATTACTTAACTCCGGACCTTTACCTGTTAATCCAGTTGCATAGGTGTTGCGCCTTGAACTTCCTTTATGCATTAAAAAAAGATTAAGATGCATCCACCATCTCAAATATATCCAGCACCTCAAAATATTTTGTGACTCGTCTAATACTCAAAGTAATTTTTTAGATACGTCTAGCACTCTAAATTTTTTTTTGGCTTGATACTGAATGCATAAAAAAAATTTTAAAGTGCTGGATGCATTTAAAAAAAATACTTTAACATGTTAGATTTAATACAAAATATTTTAAAATACTAAATATATCTGAAAAAATACTTTAGATGCTGATTTTAAAATCCTGAATATATCTGAAAAAATACTTTGATACTGATGTTGCTTAGAAAAAGAAAAATAGAAAAACAGTTCCCCGATCTTTTTATTCCACCCCACGCTACGCCACCAGCACGTCATCAGAATGCATCACTTTCCAAGCCCAGATTTTCCGGGAAAATACCGAACACCCCCGGATGTCTCTTCAATCTTTTGCCCATTGTTCTAGGCACGCGCATTAACCTTAATAATTAACCGAGTCATTTTACTACTTTCAACTTATTGTCACTTTCCCGTGGGAAGGCCTAGGCTCTGTGACTTTAGACACAGAAGACCAACCGCGGCCCCACGCTGTCCTTCTCCGGAGACCAAAGTTAATAAAACACGAACACATACTAGTACGATATTACTGATTTGAGTTTTTGGACTATGCAATATTCATCCCATTTTTTTAAATGATTGTATAATTTAAAAAATCATTAGAATTATGTAAATAATTGTACACCAATGTATAAAAAATTAAAAATACACACAGTGGTGCCAATAAAAAGACAGCCCAAGTTAAGGGTGATACTCAAAGTGATGCTGGAAAGAAATAATATGTTAAAAATACAATAGAATAAATAAAAATAACGTACGGTTATTCTTTGATGGGGGAAAGCGGTGCTGAAAGGGAGAGCGATGAAAAGGATCGCAGAGAGAGATATGAGAACTGAGAAGGATTTTATATCGATCAAAGCAAAAGTGGGAAAACAAAGGAAAGAGAACAAATGGCCAACTTATGGACCACCCCAAAAAAAAAGGTGACTTGGCTATTAAATCATTTATAATTAAATCTATTTTTTTTAAAAATGATAAATAAAGACCCGCAATATGTGAAATTGTGATTTGGGACTCTCAGTTCGGAAAATGGTAAATAAAGACCCGGTCTCATATTGCAAATATGAAATCTTAGTTAAATGTTTGAAATGCCCTTCAGCCAAATGACAAGTTAACTATAGGAAATGACAAATTCACTTTAGCAAATGATAATTTCACTAGACCAAATTATAACTTGGCTGAGGATACACTAAATGACAAATTGACTACAGGAGATAACAAGTTCACTTTAACGAATGACAATTTCAGTAGATCAAATCACAACATGGCTGAAAAGTCTTTTAGACATTTCACTAAGATTTCATATTTGTAATATGAGACATGGTCTCTCATGGCAATTTGGCTTATTCAGGCGACCTCCTTATAATTTTGGTAATTCATGAGTTTTTATTTGTGATTTTCCCATTTTTTAACTATATTCATATTTTTAAAAAGTAAAAAAAATTACGAAGATTGGAATTGTTTTAAGAAATTTTAGTTTTATTTATATAAAAATCAGTTATTAGTTTTCTATCTATTAACTTAGGTAAAATTGATAAGAATTAATCTAGAAGTCAATTCATAGCTCATAAAATCGAGTGTTTAAATCTCGTTGTCAATATAAGAATTGTATTGGTAGACGATCTGTAAATATTTATATAAATACTCTTTAAACTTGGAAGCAAGTTTAAATCATGATGAGCTTTCGAGATTCAACTCACTTAAATTTTTTTTAAAAAAAAACTTAGGTATTTAAACTTACAAATTATGTCACCATGCCTAATCAAGCCTGCAAATTTGAAAGCAGGTTAGAAGAATTAATAGTAAAAGATAGTCATGCTGGTCAAAAAAAGGGTAAAAGCTTTTTTTTTTTTTTTACCAGACGGTAAAAGATTATTTAAGTACTTGAATATATAAAGTTTAATTGTTTTATAAAAAGCAAAACCTCCCCGCTAAGTTTCCGCCCATGTCCAGTTGGTGTACGGAAGATGAAATGGACTCTGTGAATAAGACAAATGGGAATAAAGCAATCCCTGTCAAAGTTTCTGTCACGCGCAAATTTGATTCTGCACGTGAATGGATATCCTAATATGAATACCCAGGACCTTATTAGCTATGCGTTAAACAATCTTTGTTGGCATTTTGTGATTCTTAGTAATCATATCTTTTATTCCCACCCATGATAAAATTTCCAAATAAAGGAAAAAGAATTTTTTAATATTATGCCTATCATGTTTTAAGTTTATTATTTTTTTATAAATTTAGTTTGCTTTGAAAATTCCCAATCTCATAATTATTATATAATTTTTTTAATCCAACTAACATTATTAATTTTTTATTTCTATTAAATATATTTGAATTTTATATCATATACTATAATAGTATTGTGTATTGAAAAAAAAACGGATTTTAATAAATAAAGGACCTTCTCACTAACTTCCCACTATCGAGGTCAAGTCAATAAATTTTCCACAGTGTCAATGAAGTTTCCACACTGTTCTTTTATAATCTCCTTCCTGAGCAAGTCGCCAAGTGCCCCAAGTTTCCTGGCTCTCTCTTTCACTACGAAGATTCCAAACGCCTTCATCTGAATCATTGTTCTCACGTTATAAACCCCAATCTTCCGAATCACTCCCTGCAACTCACATCTTCTCTACTTCCTTAAACCTCTTTTCACGTTTCTGTAACCTTTGAACTCATAGAAGCACACAGCCAAATGGGAAAGTATTGTGTCGACGACTGTGTTAATCTGAAGCTAAACTCTCTGTCCATAGACCCAGACCATAACCAACCTCAGAGCTCCAATAGTCACGCTGTTCCACCCATGCAGTCTTTCTACAATGAAAAGATCCGACCAATTCTTGATGCTGTCGAAAACCTCAGACGCCTTAACATCACCAAAGAAGGCATTCAGCTTCCAAGCATTGTCGTCGTCGGTGACCAGTCTTCCGGCAAGTCCAGTGTCTTGGAATCTCTCGCAGGAATCAGTTTGCCACGTGGGCAGGGAATCTGCACGAGGGTGCCCTTAATTATGAGGCTCCAAAACCACCCTTTGCCAGAGCCAGAGCTTGTGTTGGAGTATGACAACACAACTGTATCAACAGATGAAGAAAATGTCTCTGATGCTATAAACGCAGCCACTGAAGAACTTGCAGGGAAGTCCAAAGGGATTTGCAACACCCCATTGACTTTGGTGGTTAAGAAGAATGGTGTTCCTGATCTCACCATGGTGGATCTTCCAGGCATAACCAGAGTTCCTGTTCATGGACAGCCTGAGAATATTTATGACCAGATCAAAGACATAATCATGGAGTATATCAAACCAGAAGAAACTATCATTCTGAATGTTCTCTCAGCTACTGTTGATTTTCCAACCTGTGAATCCATTAGGATGTCACAGAGTGTTGATAGAACTGGTTTGAGGACTCTGGCTGTAGTAACAAAGGCAGATAAGGCTCCTGAAGGATTACTAGAGAAGGTGACTGCTGATGATGTAAACATTGGACTTGGTTATATCTGTGTCAGGAATCGAATTAATGATGAGTCCTATGAAGATGCTCGAAAAGAGGAAGCTATGCTGTTCCAAAATCATCCTCTTCTGTCGAAGATAGGCAAATCCATGGTGGGTGTACCAGTTTTGGCTCAGAGGCTAGTTCGGCTTCAAGCTTCAATTATTTCGAAAACACTACCTGAGATGTTAAGAAAAATCAACGAGAAGCTAAATTCTCAGCTTTCTGAGTTAGAAAGCTTGCCAAAGAACCTGACTTCTGCTGCTGATGCTATGGCTGCGTTCATGCATATAATTGGATTAGTGAAAGAGTCACTGAAGAAAATTCTAATCTCAGGCGAATTTGATGAGTACCCAGACCCAGAAGACAAAAACATGCATTGTACTGCTCGCTTGGTTGAGAAGCTCAACGGTTACTCAAAAGATCTCCATGAATGTGCAGAAAGTAACCACACACAGGATTTCCTCGTGGATGAAATAACAATTCTGGAGGAAGCAAAGTGTATAGGCCTCCCAAACTTCACGCCTCGCACAGCTTTTTTGACTTTATTGCATAGCAAAGTCAGAGGAATCTCATCTAGGCCGATTCACTTCGTTGATGATGTCTGGGACTATCTGCAAAAAGTGGTGATCCAAGTCATAAACCGTCATTCAGAACACTACTACCAGCTTCAGAGATGTGCTTGCAGAGCAGGAGATAATCTGATTGAAAGAATGAGAGAGAATTCAAAGAAACACGTAAAGGAAACCATTGAAATGGAGAAGCTGACAGATTACACTTGTAATCCAGAGTACATGACTGCGTACAATAATCTGATGGCTTCTCGGTCTTCGCTTGTTGGAAATGTGCGTGATCGCTATGGATCTGTAAGTATTAGTGGTCTTGGAAACAACATACAGATTGGTCATCTGAGAGAGTACATACATGTTCTTGATCAAGCTTATGATCTGAAGATGAGAATGATTGCGTATTGGAGGATTGTGTTAAGGAGGCTGATAGATAGCATGGCTCTGCATCTGCAGTTCAGTATCAAGAAGCTGGTGACTAACGAGTTGGAGGAGGAGATCACTGCTTGTTTTACGTCTCCCAGTTTCGGAGGAATCGAAAGGTTGCTAGAGGAGTCACCTTCCATGGCTAACAAGCGTGCCACGCTCAGTCGAAGTGTTGAAGTTCTCAGAGAAAGTAAGGAGGTTGTGTCTAACATCATGGATAGAATTTCTAGCTGCTGAGATTCAATTGCCGTTTTATGTGTGTGGCTATCTTTTTTATGTTATCTCTGTATCAGTTTGAGTGTGCTTCTGTAATATTTTTCTTTTTTAATATGAAGTAATAGTATGGTTCTAGTTTTCTCACCCTGTCCAAGAAAAGCAACACAAATCATATGGACACACACAGCTATATATGTGTGTGTATATATGCAGCACCAAATAAACAAGCCGCTACTTTGAAATAAGAAGAGTTCATGGATTGTTTCAAATAATGAAGTTATGGAATCATTTTTTGATATATGAGAGACCTAATACTGGGATTGGTTACAAACCATCATAAAATACTATCTGTTCTTCTGAATATCTGAATATAATAACTTGTTTGATTTTTATTTTAGTTTTAAATGTAAAATTTTGATCCACTTTGTCTTTCACTTTTGTTTATTTTTTTAAAAAGAATTTTTATAATAATAATAGTTTTAACAAATATATTTGATTAGTAAGGATATTTTAATGAAAATAATATTTATTTATTACAAATAACTAAGTTAATTAGTTTTTTTAATATACTCAAATTAGTTAACTAGTTTTTATATTAAGAAACTGAGGTAGTATAAAAAAAAAGTTGCTTCTTCTTTAAAAAATTTTTTTTTCCTTCTCTTTTTCGTCTCTTCTTCTTCTGATTTTACGGGCAGAGCAATCCAAATATTCATAATTATTTTGAAGCATTGATTTTAATTCACGTAAATCATGGTCAGATATTAGTTTTAGCTACGATTTCATAACAAAAACTTCAATCACAGGAAGAAGAAAGTTAGACCCCCTTGGACATATTTTTAGTTTGGTGATTTTGTGGATGATAAGAATACGAATATAATGGCAAGGGTTAAAAGGAGATTTAACTCAGCTGTTTACTTTTGGGCCTAGTTGGTACAGACGGAGCGGCTCAAAAATTCTGATATTTACATGGGCTAGTTAGATACCAGTCCATCTCAATTTGGTCGTGTTTCATTGCTTTGGGCAATTAACCAGTACGTCTAAGGATTTTGGTAATTTGAAATAGACAATTCTTGTCTAAATTTGTATTATTTACAAGCTATTTTATTAAATTTTAATATGATTGTATTATTATTTTTAATTATTATAGTATACCAATCTAGTTCTTAAGTTACTTGCAATATATTTTTGCATATTAAGAAATATATTAAATTAATAAAATTTTTAAATTCCACCCTTTTAGTTAAACAAACATTAAATATAGGGTTAATATAATTTTTGGTCTTTTAAGTTTGTTCTCATTTTGGTTTTGGTACCTCAAATTTCGAACAATAGGTTTTGGTCCCTCTAGAAGCAAAATGGTCCAAGTTTTTATTGGGTTACAGAAATTTAAGAGACCAAAACTTATGATTTAAAATTTGAGAGACTAAAATCAAATTGAAAATAAACTTGAGGGACCAAAGTTTATATTAATCCTTAAATATATTACAAGCGAATTATATTTAGAATCAAAACTTATTCCTACAGGTGACTTGTACCTAGGATCAAAGTGGTAGATTATTATTTTTTGTAGAAAGTGTATGTATTAAGTAGGGATGAAATTGAAAAGTTGTTAAATTTTAAGACAAATTTAATGAGATTTAAGTTTTTCTTAGTTTTAATAAAATATGTTAAAAGCAACTTATAAATAGGAGTATAGGAGTAAATAGTATTCCATGATTAAATGATATATGTTGGACATGGATGAGATTATGTTAGTCTAGCATGCATGAAACTGATATGAACAAATATTATATGACATACTTGGACATGTATGATAAAATATAGATAGATATTCCTTAAGTGTTTTTCATGTGTGTTATTTTAAAATACTATATCAGGTACTTAATATAAGAGCTTGTTAACTAATTTAAATAAATTAAGGAAGTTAATTAAGTTAGTTATTTGTAATAAATATTTGTTGTCTTTCCTAAAATACCTTTACTAATAATGTGTATTAGGATTACTCTTTTATGAACACTTTTAACATGTACAAGCAATATAAAAAGTACTGTGAGAAAAGGATGGATAAATATGAAAGACAAAGTAGATTGAAGTATTATATTTAAGATCAAATTAAATACTAAACTAACTCTTACATTAAGCCTAAGGTAATATTATTTAAATTAAGATTGGTTTGATCACAATCCAATGAACGAATGCCTTGGCTAGTTGAATGTCTACTCCAATGCTAATAAAATTGGTCAAAACACTGCGAGAATAGTTTTAGTTTTGTACAAGAGACTTTTTTTTCCCATCATTGTGCAAGCGAATTCTAAATAAGCGGGATGCTTCATATTTCTTCTCTTGTTATTTATCTTGGTCTCACTTTTCAAATATTTTAGCAAGATTTTGATTTTTTTTTTCCCATTCCAATGTGCAAGATGTTGATTAACAAATTTCTAATATATTTTGTTCTTCAAATGCAACAAGGCTATGAGCCTCATAACATTTAGTCCGGAGATAAAATTAAGGGAAACAGCGTAACTTCATTACATTCTCATTTTTCTTGTCAATCAAAACAAAATAAAAATAATAGGGTTGGTAATATGAGCTAACCCGCCGGTTACGGGTTGGCTTGTAATGGGTTGAACCCATATGAGTCAAGGTGAAAAGACTCGTTTGAAGAAGGGTTGGCCCGCCAACCCGCAAACACTTATTTATTTTTTTTAAAAAAAATTTCTTACTTTTTAATATATATTTTTCGTCTACAATAGCTAAAAATAATAATAAAATTTTTCTTTATCTTTGAAATATTTGATTAAAAGTACCAAATAAATTATATAATTATTTTTTAAAATTTTTTAGATAGAATATAATATATAATAATATAATTATAATAGTAAAAAAAAAATTTAAAAAAAAGATGCGGGTCAACCAGCGGGTTGGCAGGTGAACCCCTGATGGGTTGCCGGCCTGACGGTGCAAATTCAAAAGGTTTGTTTACTAACGGGTTGGTTCTTGATCAATTCTAACCTGTCATTTTTTATGGGTTGGACCCGCGGGTCAACCCATATTACCGGCTCTAAAATAGAAACATACTGTGAAATCCTACTACTTAATTAAATTTTCGAAACAAATAGTAATCTATATATTTGTATCTTGGACAGTTCAAAAGTCATAAAATCTTTTATTACAATTTTTACCAACTTCTCCTAAAGAAAAAGTTACGACAGCCCCGCAACTCATGAACGTGGATCTTTTTCTTCTTCTTTTTTTTTTGGGACCAACATGAACGTTGAATTCGTTTGAATACGAAGCGCCAAATTAAACGTTGCGCAGCCATGCAGTTTTTTTTTTTTTTTTTGCTATCTCCATGCAGGGTATGTACTCCTCTGCACTTCTAAATGTTAAAAAAAAAAAATGTAATAATTTTTTTAAAATATGATAACTTTTTAACTTTATTTCTGTTTATGTTTTTTTAAAAACAAAAATCATTTACATTATATAAAAATAGTGCATTCATATTAAAACTTCAATGAGATAATTTATAAATAGGGTTAAAAAAATATTCTCTTTATTTTATAAATAGAACCAGAGGCAGTATCAATTACAACTTCATTAACTTAAATACAACTAAATTATTAATTGCATTCCGTCTTCAAAAATCTTCTCTATCTTCCCATCAGAGAATTTAATTGCTGCGGATATATTTCCAATGAGGAGTATCTCTTCAACTTCCTGAGCATATGGATGGTCACCTCGGGTGCCGTTTTCTAAGCTCTTTTCCCAGCAAGTCTCTTCATTCCTTCACTCCAACCCATGATTCTATGCGCACCAAACTATAATAATTAAAACTGTAATAATGACTCTATATAAACTTCAACATTCTGAATCTCTCCTCACATCTGGATCGTCGCCTTCAACCTGGTGCCTCTTTTCTGAGAACTTTTGTTTGATTTGAAATAGCGCATGCAAATGGGAAGAGGAAAGTTATCGACTACTTCAACTGCTATCAGCAGAACCACTCTAAATCAAAGACAAGACTCCCTTTCCTTGGTCGTAGATGGCCAACCTGAACCTCTCAATGTCATTGTGCCACCCATAATCTCCTCTTACAATGAGAGGATTCGACCAGTTCTTGATGCAGTTGAGAATCTGAGACGCCTCAACATTACCAAGGAAGGTATACAGCTTCCGACCATTGTTGTTGTGGGTGATCAGTCCTCTGGTAAGTCCAGTGTCCTAGAATCTCTCGCAGGAATCAGTTTGCCGCGGGGACAGGGAATCTGCACGAGGGTACCTTTGGTCATGAGGCTCCAGAGCCATCCTCTACCAAAACCAGAGCTTGTGTTGGAGTTTAATGGCAAAGCTGTTTCAACAGATGAACAAAACGTCTCTGATGCTATAAACTTGGCCACTAATGAGCTTGCGGGAATTGCAAAGGGGATTTCTAACACACCTTTGACTTTATTGGTGAAGAAGTATGGTGTTCCTGATCTCACCATGGTGGACCTTCCAGGTATAACTAGAGTTCCTGTTCATGGACAACCTGAGAACATTTATGACCAGATTAAAGATATAATCATGGAATATATCAGACCTGAGGAGACTATTATATTGAATGTTCTCTCTGCTACTGTTGATTTTCCGACATGTGAATCCATTCGTATGTCACAGAGTGTTGATAGAACAGGATCAAGAACTCTCGCTGTTGTGACAAAGGCAGACAAGGCACCAGAAGGGCTTCTGGAAAAGGTCACTGCTGATGATGTTAACATAGGACTTGGCTATGTTTGTGTTAGAAATCGAATTAATGACGAGACATATGAAGAAGCTCGAATGGAGGAAGGTTTGCTGTTTGAGAACCATCCACTTCTCTCCAGGATAGACAAATCGATTGTCGGTATTCCGGTTCTGGCTCAGAAGCTTGTTCAGCATCAAGCTTCAATTATTTCAAGAACACTGCCTGAGATTGTTAGAAAGATCAACGAGAAGCTCAATTCTCAGCTTTCTGAGCTGGATAACTTGCCAAAGAACCTGACTTCTGTGGCTGATGCTATGACTGCCTTCATGCATATAGTTGGGCTGGTGAAAGAGTCACTCAGGAAAATTCTTGTCAGAGGAGAATTTGATGAGTACCCAGATGACAAAAACATGCATTGCACTGCTCGTTTGGTCGAGAAGCTCAATGATTACTCAAAAGATCTCTATGAATGTTCTGAAAGCAACCACACAAAGAATTTTCTAATGGAAGAAATAAGGCTACTGGAGGAAGCCAAGTGGATTGGCCTCCCAAATTTCATGCCCCGCACAGCTTTTCTCGCTTTATTGCAGAGCAAAGTGAAAGGAATTGCACTGAGGCCTATTGAGTTCGTTGATGATGTGTGGGATTATCTGGAGAAGGTGCTGAGCGACGTCATAACCCGCCATTCAGAAAACTACTACCAGCTTCTGAAGTCAACAACCAGAGCTGGAGAAAATCTGATTGCTAGAATGAGAGAGAATTCAAAGAAGCATGTAATGGAGGCTATTGAAATGGAGAAGCTGACAGATTACACTTGTAATCCAGAGTACATGGCTGAATACACTAGGCTCATGGCTCAGCATGATTCCTTCATGAAACAAGTATTTGACGATGATCTAGTTCCATCTACAGTGATCCTAGAAGGCCTTGGAGAGGTTGAGGTTGGTCATCTGAGACAGTGCAGAAATGTTCTTCAGAATGCATTTGACTTGAAGATGAGGATGGTAGCTTATTGGAAGATTGTGCTGAGGAGGCTGATTGATACCATAGCCCTGCATCTGCAACTCAGTATAAACATTTACTGAACAGAGAGTTGGAGAAGGAGATCACTTTTGGGTTGATGTCTACGACTGGAGGAATTGAGAGCTTTTGAAGGAATCACCCTCAATAGCCGGGAAGCGTTCAAAGCTTAACAGAAGTGTTCAGGTTCTGAGGGAAAGTAAGGAAGTTGTAGCAAACATAATGGACCGCATCTCCAGCTGTGGAGATTAGATTTTATATGAACATTGGTTGTTTTGGTTTTTTTTTTTCCTGCTTTTTGAATCCTTGTTTCTGTTTCTGATGTTGTCTCGGTCAGTGTCGGTACTAAGTGTCACCCAAAGCTGATGTTTATTCAAGTTTTCATGATCCTTTTCTGCAAGCGTTT